GTCAGGCGAGGACACTCACTGAAGATATTCAATTCTTCATTAGTAGCACTGTTCTTCATTAGTAACATGGTAACTGAATAATTGACTTTAGAGTTTTCTGTTGTCTTTATAATCAACTTAATACATGGAACTATGGAAATTTTACTGAGTGTATACATACATCTTTGATTTACAATTGATATATCTATATATATAATATTTAATTTAAGAATATATTATCTAATCTTTAATTAAACATAAAACATGTAACATATAAAATATAACATATAACATATAACATATAAAATATAACATATAACATATAAAATATAACACATAACATATAACACATATAACATATAACATATTTAGAACTAAATAGATATTAAAAAAGATTGAACTCGATGCTTTGGGAGTCGAGCCTAGCAGTCTACGTATTATATAGATGTCTGTGGTCAAGACCGAAAGACCTCCGCTCATTATTTATGTACGTAATCCTTGCGTACCAGGAATGCCGAGCCTGTGGAGAGAACGAAAATCATGAAAGTACGCAAATGCATGTTGCTTTAGCATAAAACAGAGGTCTTGTTTTAAAAAAATACCGCACATGCTATTTAAGAAAAAATATCAAGTTAGTCTCTCTTTATATATAATATAATTTCAAATAATACTTCTTTTATCAATATGATGACATTACCTCTCAGTAATTTATAGCATGTCCATCGGCGGCTAATACGGCAAGAAGTCTGCGGTGCATTGAAGCGACTATTGTCTGGCAGTAATCAGGACGTTGCTGAAGATCAGCCCAAGCTATTTGCACTCGTTGCAGGAGATCTTCCCTTCTGTGAACAACATGGGGCGTCCACTCTCGAACCATTCCTCCCCATAAATTTTCAATTACGTTGAGGTCCGGAGACCTCGGAGGCCAATTTAACCTTATGATTTCCGGATGGTCCTCATACCATGCTCTAAGAATAAAATGTCGGAAAGTTGCGAAGAAACAACTTTTGACACCTCGACATAGGGATCAACGAGTGAACTTCGCCATGAATTATTTAGATGTCACGGATGAAGAGTGGCAGAAAGTCATATGGATAGACGAGAAAATTTTTCCACTGACAAAGACTGTCGTTATCGCGTCTGGAGAACCGACAACACCAGATATGAGGCGGACAACGTTTTACCATCGATGTCTAGTGGCCACGTCACGGCGTCATTCTGGGAATGGATTGAAAATTTATGGGGAGAAATGGTTCGAGAGTAGACGCCCCACGTTGTTCACAGAAGGGAAAACCTTCTGCAACGAGTGCAACTGGTTTGGGCTGATTTTCAGCAACGTCCCGATTACTGCCAGGCAATAGTCGCTTCAATGCACCGCAGACTTCTTGCTTTATTAGCCACCGATGGACACGCTATAAATTACTGAGAATTAATGCCATCATAGTGATAAAAGAAATTATTTGAAATTATATTATACGTAAAGAGAGAATAACTTGATATTTGATAGAATAACTTGATATTCACACAAAGAATTTTCATAATTATGATCATAATCTCGTTTATGATTACGTGATTATGATCACGTGATCATTGTTCTTTATTCGATCACTCGTTCAAGAAATAATTCTGTCATCTAATAGCAGGGACTTTATTAAGAAGGATTTAATTAAGAAGTGCGGTTACCATGTTACTAATGAAGAACAGTGCTACTAATGAAGAATTGAATATCTTCAGTGAGTGTCCTCGCCTGACTCCTTGGCTTATGGGTCTTCTCAATGTCATCTTTCGTCCTTGCGAAATAGCTCAGCCATTAGACAATTATGTCGGAGGATGGGTTTAGTCTGTTGTATATCGCTACTGAAACCTTTCGTGCACTTTCACAGTAATTTATTCTAGGCTTTAATACCTAAAAATGTAATAAAAATCCACAAAACAATTGTTTTTTATTTAGTATCGTGAAACTTTTAAGGAAAAGAAAACTTATCTGAAATGCCTTAATGTTAGCTTCCTGAAAGCTTGCTAAATAATATTTGCGCTTTCTCGCACTCCACGCCAAGATCCTTTTGCCACTGTCTTTTCCACGAAGATATCGGATAAAATTACTGAAATAGATAATCACGAAAATGATTCAAGATTCTAGACAATATTTAAATGTAAAATAATAAATTATAAATACCATATAGATATATGATCCGTTCAACACATTAAAATATAACCAATTGTTCTTACAACTTACTATAATCTGCATGATGATGAAAAAATTCCGTTCACATCTGATGTATTTACTTATTTAAAACTCCCGAAAATTCAGGTTATTTCGTCTTTACGTCAAATGTCGTTGT